GTTTGGGTTTTGTAATTCTAATTTAAATGTTATATTGTTTGATTTTTTTTTAAAGCCTAATAAAATTGAATTGGGTTTTTGGTCATTTTACCCAAAATTTGTGTTAGTCTAGTAAACTACAAAACTAGGGTGTCAATCTAGTTATTAATCTCTAAATTTGAGTCAATCTGGGTAATTTTCAGTTAATTGTATCACAGGTTATTTAAAATCAATGAGTGTTTCCGCTCGACATTCAACATTTCTTTTATGAAACAGAGTCGACATTCATCACAACTACTACACAAATACTTCACTAATACAATGTGAGATACACAAATGAACTTAACATTTGCATCACACCACAATGATGTTGCTGGCTCCCTATCTTAGTCCTCTTCGATTTCACTGGGCTTCCACTGCCTCGTGAGTGAGGTAAGTGTAAAGATAACATAGCTCATCTCTGGTATTTGTGCTAGTTCCTTGGCGTAGCAGTGATTGGCCAGTTTTGCTACATTATTGATGATTATGCGGTCTTCTTCGTTAAGCTCCATGGTTTTGTCAATGGCTTTCTCGAATGAGTCTTTGTCGACGAACACTTTCCGGAACCAAGTGGGAATGTGATGATCATCTTCATATCGCTTATCGTCAATAGCTTTTTGGCATGTTACTAGGTCCATGAGAATTACCCCAAAGCTATAGACATCAGCTATTCTAGTTAGTCACTGTAATTACAAATATTTGAGCAGTCATAATCAAATATATTGGTGATCAGATATAAACATTGACAGATAAAAGGAAAATTATACATGTGTATTATGGTGCAATGTAAGCAATTGTTCCGGCACACTTTGTCCTGATTGATTCTCTGCCCTGTGCTGTAGACCGGGCCAAACCAAAGTCATAGACTTTTGCAATTTCTTTTTGTAGAGAAGTTAATTCATACTATAGACCAAATACTATAAAACGCATAGGTTAAACCAAATTGTACATTTGCTTATATTTTGCTTATTTTTTAATTTATATTTTGCATAATTTTTTTTTTTTTGTTTAATTGCTTGCTTATATTTGGTCAATTGGTCTTTAACATCCAAATGGTAACAAACAAATAACACCTTTTAACATGGAGCCAAAAATAGAATCATTCTCTTCATATATGTGCTCGTGACTGCCACTATAAAATCATTCTCTGCAATTGGAAGCTACAAGAAAACCGTATTAGTTAGTAACTTTCCTTATTGAAAAAAATCAACGAAATATGAAGAACAATATTTACCATCTCGACGACAACGAGATCTTGGCAAGCACTCCCATGTTAGACTTCAAGTACGGTGGTGGCATTGTCTGCATAGTCAAACCTTAGGATGACCACTCCGAAACTGTTTCTTTACCTTTTGGAGATGGTGGTAAGATCCATCATCCTAAGGATTTTTCCCAATTGCACCTCTAGCGTTGATTCTCATGGGGATTTTGAAAATGCGATCCCAAGGATATGAATGCGGACCTGAGCCTTCCATGTAAACCAATATAGGATGTTTGTGGTCTAAAGCTCTTTTTTAACATGTAAGATTTTAAAGAACCTTTTTTCAGCTCTGTATGATAGTATGAATGTGTGACAGTCTATCTCATAATATGTTTTATTCGTTCGTGATATATTGGATTTTTCAAATTTGGCTTTCTTAATCTAGAAATTTCCAGATTTATCAATCCTCAAGGCATAAACATACCAATAGGACCAACTTCTCTCGTGTGTAGTCTAACACAAACTTAAGAGGCAAATATGTTATGCCCGGAAGAGCAAGCTATATAGGGGAAAAACAAAACTGTCTATTTTTATTGTACTAGATTTTGTTCCCGCGCGTTGCGCGGAATTTTAGTTTAAATTCTCTTCTATTAATATATATAAGTTTTTAAGCATAAAATATAATCAATAAAATTTAAAAGAAAAATATTTGAGCAGAAATATAATAATTCAAAATTTAAAAGATGATTATATAAACACTAAACTTATTTTACGAAGTGATATACAACATATATATTTATTATACAACATATAAATATTTACGCATTGCGTGGATTTAGTACTATATTATGTTTTAGCTACAATTTTGTTTCATATTTTTAAGTGTTTATTTTTTTGTTTTTCAATCACAATTATAGTCTACAAATTTATGATAGTGTTGTCAATGTGTTACTTACATATAAACTTGCATTATGCATAGGGGTGTCAAGTTGGTTAAACCAAATGGTTCGGTTCTCTGCTTAAAAATCTATTCCGAATTAAACCGATATGTTTTACTACATAAGCCCAAAATAGTTTAGATTATTTAAAACGCAAATACCCTAGCGTTTTGGTTCTCTCTTTTCTTTAGTCATCGTTTTTATTCAGACGGCGGATCTTCAACATCCATAACCCATCCTTGCTTCTTCAATCTATACATGGCGGATCTTCGAAGATAGGTGATGCTTGCAAGGCAAGCAATAACCGAACGGTTATTCGGTTCTCTTGCAACCATCACCTATCGGCAAAAAAAATTATGGATTTCGGTTATCGAAATTGGTTAGGTGATGAGGATTGAATCTTTCTGTTTTTTTTTTTTTTTTTCGTTTTTAGTTTAAAAAAAAAAAAAAATGATTAAAAAAAAAAAAAATCTAGACTGATGATGAACATGAAACATATAGAATAATACATGTTGTATTTCTTATTCTTCAAAAAACAATGTCGTTTTTGACAACAGGAAAAAAGGAAAATGCCCACCATTGACTCAAGGCACTCGAATAATTTTCTTGCGCAAATGACACGTTGATGAGATTACGTTTTAAGTGGTCAATTTTCTTCATTAGTTTTTCTGAATTCGTTCACACGCTTGAATAAATCAAAGCTTGATTCATACGTTGTAAAAAAAACAAAAACTATTTAAGGGAAACTAGATAATTGACTACACACGTAAGTTCCTCGAACCTATGACTTATCGCACTCTTCCCTTAAAGTCCCCTAAGATCAACCAGGTAGAGCTACCAACACTAAATTCACTGAATGTTATGTATTACATAATAGATCAATGATATGGCTAGAATCTTATTTCTATGTAATGAATTTGTAGGAAATTAATTGTTTCTCTTGAGCAGTTAAGTCATATTACTCATGACTTATTCTTAAGAAAAAAAAAAAGTTTTGTTTAATAAAAATATCAAACTTGACTCTTTGTGGTCGTTAAATTAGACAATATTTTGTTCAAAACTGATAAATAGAAAACACTTTTACTTGGACTCGGTCAAAAAGGATTTAAAAAATTCTATTAATTAATTAAGACCATTCTCTTGAGCAGTATATTACTTATGACTTATTCTTAAGAAAAGAAAGTTTTGTTTAATAAAAATATCAAACTTGCTTCTTTGTGATCGTTGAATTAAACAATATTTTGTTTAAAACTGATAAATAGAAAACACTTTTACTTGGACTCGGTCAAAAAGGATTTAAAAAGTTCTATTAAATTAGAAACTTCTAGTTTAATATAATAATATTAATTGCTAAACTGTACAGAGGGAATTGTTTGTCTAAACGATCATGACAGAATACAGAGTATTGAGCTAATATCACAATGAAAAAAAAAAAAAATTTTGTTTAATAAAAATATCAAACTTGACTCTTTGTGGTCGTTAAATTAGACAATATTTTGTTCAAAACTGATAAATAGAAAACACTTTTACTTGGACTCGGCCAAAAAGGATTTAAAAATTTCTATTAATTAATTAAGACCATTCTCTTGAGCAGTATATTACTTATGATTTATTCTTAAGAAAAGAAAGTTTTGTTTAATAAAAATATCAAACTTGCTTCTTTGTGGTCGTTGAATTAGACAATATTTTGTTTAAAACTGATAAATAGAAAACACTTTTACTTGGACTCGGTCAAAAAGGATTTAAAAAGTTCTATTAAATTAGAAACTTCTAGTTTAATATAATAATATTAATTGCTAAACTGTACAGAGGGAATTGTTTGTCTAAACGATCATGACAGAATACAGAGTATTGAGCTAATATCACAATGACAGGAAAAAAGAAAGTTTTGTTTAATAAAAATATCAAACTTGCTTCTTTGTGGTCGTTGATCAATTAGACAATATTTTGTTTAAAACTGATAAATAGAAAACACTTTTACTTGGACTCGGTCATAAAGGATTTAAAAAGTTCTATTAAATTAGAAACTTCTAGTTTAATATAATAATATTAATTGCTAAACTGTACAGAGGGAATTGTTTGTCTAAACGATCATGACAGAATACAGAGTATTGAGCTAATATCACAATGACAGAAAAAAAAGAAAGTTTTGTTTAATAAAAATATCATACTTGCTTCTTTGTGGTCGTTGAATTAGACAATATTTTGTTTAAAACTGATAAATAGAAAACACTTTTACTTGGACTCGGTCAAAAAGGTTTTAAAAAGTTCTATTAAATTAGAAACTTCTAGTTTAATATAATAATATTAATTGCTAAACTGTACAGAGAGAATTGTTTGTCTAAACGATCATGACAGAATACAGAGTATTGAGCTAATATAACAATGATAATATTCTTACTAATAATCTCTAAGTAACCCAAACTGGAGCATTACATGAGATAGCTCGCCAAATTATCCCCACAACGAATTTTTTGATATTAGAAAGTAAAGTAACCATATTTGAGAATCAAAAACAGTCTGTGGAAATAAAAGTCCATACATACACATATGTCGATATGGGTTCATTATGAACGGCAGGAAATGATTTGACAACATAACGCTAAACCTTGGTATAACAAGAGAAACTCGCTTGCTCTGATGAAGCTAAGCTAAGACTTGACTGATGTTTAGTCATGAGTCAATATTTTTCATAGATTTGTAAGTCATGAGGAGTTGTGATGATGTTTAAGTCATGAGTCAGTTTTCATTCATGATGTAATTGTAACCTCTAAAATTTTATCTAATATCTTAATTTATAGAATATATGAGCAATCTACTCCTATAAATTCCAAGAGTATAGTAATACTTGATAGAAAAATTAAACAAAAATTCCAAAGAGTATAGTATCCAAAGGTTTTTTGCTAAAGATTATAATTAACATGATGGGAGTGGCTGCTTTCTCAGTAGCTCTGATGATGATAGCGGTGATAATCTCTCCTTGTGTTTATGGAGAAGAGTTCTCCGATCACCATGAAATTAAAGTACAAAGACTTAAGAAACGGCTCAACAAGCCTGCTCTTAAATCTATTAAGGTATATGTTACATTAATGTAATATTCATAAACTCCATGCTTTGAATATTCACGGCCAAAACTTGTTGAGATTAAAGATTTTGCTCTAATCCTACTTACAGAGTGAAGATGGAGATATAATAGATTGTGTTCCGATAACTAGTCAACCAGCTTTGGATCATCCTCTACTTAAAAATCATACCATCCAGGTTTGTCTTCATTTACGATCTATATTTTGCTTTTATATAATTAATATATATGTGCATGATCATGTTGAAACGAGAAGTTTTCACACGTAGATGAGACCCAGTTTTATCTCGGAAGATGAACCTAAGAACACCAAGAAAAAAGAAAAGGCTATAATTCAGGTGTGGCACAAGAGTGGAGATTGTCCGGAAAACACCGTTCCTATAAGAAGAGCAAAGAAAGAAGATATCTTCCGAGCAAAATCCTTTGAGAGTTTCAGGAGAAAAACTCGTCGAAGCATTGCTGAATATAAAGATCCATCTATAGGCCATGAGGTAAATCTTTTCCTAACTGTCCTTATGTTAATTACTCTCGTGTGGCGTAATTTACATTTTCCCGTTTTTTGGAGCCGGCTTAGTATGCGATCATGCAATTGAGGACAGGAAAGTTTTACGGGACAGAATTTACAATAAATTTCTGGAACCCAAAAGTCCAAGCTTATGGAGAGTTCAGCTTGGCTCAGACTTGGCTTTTGTCTGGAGAGGGCCCTAATCTTAACAGCATTGAAGCTGGTTGGCAGGTCTTGTAGTGATCTGGTCCTCCATTCTTAATTAAACTTTCCTCACATCACATGCAGAAAATCTTATTTAACACTATCTTTGTTTGTCATAATTTGTAGGTTTCTGAACAAATATACCTTGATAATAATACTAGATTATTCGTTTTCTGGACGGTAAGTTACCAATTCTATGAAATTATGCGTAAACCCTTAATATATCAAGCTAATCTTTTTTTTCTTTTTTGTGAAACTATATTAAGCTAATCATTTGAGAAATTTATACGGTTCACTAAAATTTGGATTTTGATTTTTTTTTTCTTTGACATCGGAATTTGGATTCCGAATATAAGATAGAGACAAGTTCATTTGCATTTGACCTGTTCACAATCCGAAAACACATATATTACCACTATAACCAGATTTACTCTGAATTATTAATTAATTTTTTTTTGTTGTGTTCTCTAGAACAATGGATACCAAGGAAATCTGTGCTACAATCTGCGTTGCCCAGATCATGGTTTTGTTCAGGTGAGCAATCGTTTTACTGTAGGTGGATCATTAATTCCCGTGTCACAATACGACGGAGAACAACAAGCGCTCTCCATGCATATAAGGAAGGTACTATTTTCTTAACATTTACACCCAAAAAAAAGGAAGCTACGTACTATTTTTTTTTTTTTTTAATTTTAAAAACTGTGGCGGACTGAAATACTATTTTTCATATAGATGAGAAGTATAAAAATATATTAGTATTAAAATTCACTTCTAATATATACATACTCAAATTAAAAGAATATATTTATATGTATTACCGTGTAAGTTTTTCTACTTTATGAATGTAATTATATCTGAAAACGTATTCGATATAATTATATTTATTACTGTAATTAAAATCCTTTCAATAACCAGTAGTATTTTAAATAGCAAAAATAATTATAGATTTTTAATTAAAGAGGAAGATAATGAAAATATCATTCAGATGCATTTATTCCATGAAAAACAAATGTAAACCATTACAGATTATGTTTATTCATGAAAATTTTAAATAACTTATACCTTTTGTATGAAATTGACTATATATATATATATATATTTAAGGAGAGATAGTAAATAAAGTTTTAACATGACTGCATCTGAACCCAAAATGCATGGATTGTCGATTATTTAGTATGACGACAAAAACTGGTGGCTAAAGATCGGTGAAGAGTTCGTCGGGTACTGGTCTGACGACTTGTTCACTTCTCTAAAAGATGGAGCTACGGTAGTTCAATGGGGCGGTGAAATCGTTAATTTGAAGACCGATGGGATACACACCACCACCGAGATGGGAAGCGGACATTTTGCAGAAGAAGGGTTTAGAAAAGCAAGTTATTTCAGGAATCTTATGATATATGATGAAGCCAATACTCTGAAAGAACCCCAACAACTTTCTCCCTTAACTGGTCATGATGGCTGTTACAACATTAAGGCAGGAGATGGTGGAACAGACTGGGGGGTTCATTTCTTCTTTGGTGGTCCTGGTCGTAACGAAAAATGCCCTTGATTTGGATCTGTGTATTCCAAAGGTTTTGAGGATTTTACATATGTACGTGTCTGTATTTGAATAAGAACGTGTGATAGTCATATGATTTAAGAAAAAAATCCACGTCATCGTTGTTAACTTTCCTTGATATTATGCATGTGTGTGTAAAAGATTTAATTTTCAGACTTCACATGTCTGTAATCTGATTAATAAAGAATATGCATATATTTGATAAAATCTTCATTTTATAGACTTATGGTTAATTCCTCTCTTGACCTACGTGTAAGGCTTTTGTACATGTTTGTGTTTGGGTTAAAGCTGATCAAACCAATTTTCTACCCCAAATTACACGTTCTTTTTTTTTTTTTTGATAACCCAAGTTTCCTGTCACTAGCCAACAGAGCAGGGTTCCACGTGTTAGCTATCGGCGGCGAGCCGACAGAGCAGGGTTCCACGTGTTAGCTATCGGTTCGCACAGACTAGCCACGTGGGCGGCCAAACGGCTCTCCACGTGTTGGCACCTAGAGGCCTGCGGAGCGCCAATGTGAATACGCAGTGGCCAGGAATCGAACCCTGGTGACGGTACTCACAGCTGTGAGCCCTTTACCACCAGACCACGACCGCCTGCTTCAAATTAATTACACGTTCTTTTAAATTGTCATGATACAGATCCGAATATGATATGGTTTCTCAGCATTATTTTCTTAATTTATAGAATATATGATGCACTCAAATATTATTTTCTTTCCCAGTTACGCGTTTCATCACAAGATTGGGTGATGTTTAAGTCATGGGTCAATTTTCACTGAGTTAGTGATTTACATCGTGTAATTACTGGTGTAACCACTTACAAATTTATCCCAAGATGATAAGGTCTTTAAGCACTAAAATCTTAGTTTATAGAATATATGCTCCTATAAAATCCAAAGTGTAGTTGCTATAAGGATTATAAGAAGGATAAATTGCAGGCCACAGCATAAGACCATCTTTTAATTTCAAGGTTTGGCAAAGTGAGAATTGGTTCTCATGTTTTGACAATTTAGCCAAAATTTGACCATTTTACCCCTACCAGCGTAACGACGTACTGTTCCGTGTACGGTTTAATTAAGCGGTTCAGTTAGGTACACTGTTCCGGTTAGGCTAAGATAATTTTGTTTTTTTAATGTTTTGTGCGTCTGTACAATGAAAAGGGGAAATAATAACATTAAAAAACAAAGTGACATCAGTATTAAATGCCTAAAAAGTTTAGACAAGACTCTTGTCACAATTAATGCAAAACTCATCATTACTTGTTGTAATATTAGTTTATACGTGTGAATAATTGTAAGAGATAAGCATGAACCATCAAACAAACAAATTAGTCTGAACGAATGTGATGCTGGAGAAGTTTTGATCTTGTTGATTTACAAAGTTTGGATCCAAGACAAGCATTGATCGTGTAAGTAATGAAGTTGGTTAAGAAGTTTTTTGTTATAACATAGTAGGATCTTGATTGTGTTCAAAATCAACATTGTTTTTTATATAAAAACCTAGAAATTTTTATTTCCAATTTTGTTTGTTGAAAATGCTAAATGAGGATATATATATATATATATATGTTTATAAGTGTGTAGTTGGAAATTTTTTTTGTTTTTTGTAGATATAATCATGTTTTCAGTTCATGTAATGGGGTTCTGCAGAATTTATGATGCAGGTGGGTAATGGATATTCCCGTATTTACTACGGTGGGTGAGTGGAGATGCAAAGAAGAAGAATGAAAATTTGAACCAGAGGAAGACATGTTTGGTCGCTGTGTACGTGTTAAGGAAAACATGACGTACACGGAATTTGTACGTACATTATGCAAGGTTTTCAGTTTGAAGTCCACCGAATGCAATTCCATAATTAGTTACTGGATGCCGGGAAAGATGTCAGTGATGATAGAAAGTAAACGCCCTCCTGTCTACATTGACAATCAAATGAGCCTGGATACGTTCTTTTTGATTCATGGTGGGGATCCTAGTGTCAACTTGTTTGTCTCTTTCATTACAACCGTCAAGGCACTCGGAAATAATGTCCCTAGGACTGATGTCCACGATGCTGAAACTGACCATGTGTGTGGGAGTGCAAAGATACCAAATCCTATCGTAGCGGCTTTAAATGTGGATGCAAATAATGAGGCCGTAGATGAACAAGACGATAAAACAGATGAGGATGAAGAGGAGGAGGACACCGAAGATGGTGATGGGTATGATGATTATCAGGGTGACGATGAATTTTTTAGTTGAGGAAGAAAAGTATGGTAGATATGTACGTGTTAAAGAAAATATTGTGGATGTCGGATTGACACACTCAAGTATTTTATTAAGTAGGAAAGATTATTCTTGAGGGACAAAAATGATTATGTAAAAGCTTGTAAGTTGCTACGAAAATTGCTATAGTATTTCTCTCTTGAGAGGAAGGTCACCTTTACATGGCCATTGGCCTTTATATTTATACATGGAGAAATGACATTAAAATGAATAATTAAGTACAATTATTCCTTCTTAAATGTGTCCGTTTTGATTCTTCGTCTTTAATGCTCAACGTTTGAATTTGAGTTGACTCTGATCTTCATGGGCCTCGCCTTTTCTGGCCCAAGCGTCCTTGAACCGACTTACCCGTGTCTTCTACACCGAACTCGTGTCACAGTACATTCACTTCGGACTCTCGAAGTGATGACAACCACTTCGACCGTCCTTTCGGCCCACGGGTCCAATGGGCTTTATCCTTTATGGGCCATTATTTTGACTACGTGGCAATCTTTGGTTGGTCTCGTACTTCTGGTGCGGGATCCGACACCAACAATTAGCCCCCCAAGTTCTTCGAAGTGCTATTCCAATTCGGAGGACTTTAAATGCTCAAGTGGCCAAAGATTGCGCTCGAGAATCTTTCTGATTTCCCGCCGAAAATCTCATCACTCCTTTAATTTCGGCACTAGCCTTTTTTAACCGAGTGACATCTGTCATCATTATGACCGTATATTGATTAATTACTATTAAAACGGGAAAAACCTTCCCACTTCCCACACGACTTCCGAGGCGGTTTCATCATTAGCTTGAGGTAACTTCTTTTCACCATTACTCTCTTCTTTTACTTTTGTACTTTAATCAAAAACTCTCTCTTCTCTTCTTCACAAAAAACCTCTCTTCGCCGGATCTTGAATTTTTCATTTTTATTCGATGACTTCTGATTCTGAAAGACCCGAATCTCCGTCTTACGACGAGAGGCGTTCTAGTAATGATGAATGCACTCGTCCTAACGACATCGCCGGTCCTCATTACAAATCCACCTGTACTCTTCAATCCCTTGAGCGGTTGAAGGGGCTTTGTCAAATTCCTCCTGGAATTATAGCGGAGGCGCAAATAGCCGACCCTACGAAATCTCCTGAGAACCACCGTGCCGGCTACTTTTGTGTTTACGAAATTTACTTCAAGGGCTGCGGATTGACCTTCCCCCTTCCCGAAGCCCTAGTTCGATTCTTGGCGGCTCTTGAGATCGCTTTGCCTCAATTAACCCCCAATCTCCTCCGAACCATCCTCGGGATTATAACCGTTACGGCGGAGGCTGGCTACGTCATCGGAGTCCCCGAGCTGAATGAACTCCTAAGCGTAAGGAGTTCATCAAAGAAAACTGGGTACTTCTCGGCGTATCCAAATGCCAATAGGAACGTCATCTCGCACCTCCCGAACAAGGATGAGAACTGGCACCATCCTTGGTTTCTGATTAAGAAAACTCCTGCTTCGATTGGGAATCTTTCCGATGTACTCCCATCGAAGTGGTCTGCGAAACCTGGTAGAGACTAGGTCGTATATTCCTTTATTGTTTATTATTATTTTTTACTGACCGAATTCGTTGTTTCATTTCGCAGCTTTCATCGCTTCAACTCTCCCGACTGAAGAATTTGTCAAGTTCTTCAAAACAATCCTTGAAGGGGAAACCCTTTGGAATTCTTTTACCCTCGACCGATTTGTCGAGGCCAACCGGAAACTCAGGATGAGTCCTCCCAATCTACTTCATCGTCTTCCGCCTCCTCCCTCAACTCAGGGAATGTCAGCTCGGGCCCTCGCTGCCCAGCGTAAGAAGCTCTCCAAGCCGATAGCAGAGGCTTGTGATGAAAACAAGGCGTTCCTTACGACCGCCATCGACAAAAAAGATTACAGCAGGACCCTGCTGGTTGACGACAACAGCTCCGAGGGAGCCAGATCCGTTGCTGCTTATAGGTTAACACCTCGCCGCGAACGCCGCGACGAGCGTTCTCCTCGGAGAGAGCGGTCTCCCCGTCGTGATTCTCCTCGTCCTCCCCGAGACGATTTCAGCAACGAACCTCTTAAGAATTTGGTTCGTAAGAAGAGGGACAAGTCGTCCCGTGATGACTCGTCTCCGCGAAGGGAGAAATCAAGGGCCCGGACTGACCGTTCACCTCGATCATCCCCTTCTGCCGAACCAATGGGTCCTCCCCGACCTGTTGACATGTCTTCTTCTTCCCAGCCCATCAGTGAAAAGACTGCTCGGAGTGCATCCCCTAAAAGTGGAGATTCTGAATCTCGAGATGCTCCCTCGAGGCTGAAGCCTGCTCTTGTCCCTCAAGTCAAATCGCTTTCAGGTTTGGTGATTTACACATACTTAAACTTTTGGTCTTTATTAAAATTCCAATTTTTACAACTCTTCCTTCTTCGCAGCTATGGAGAAAGAGGGCAGCGTCTTCCGATGCTTCAAGACCCGATCGGGTTCGATCCTGCCAGACTTCGACAAATGGCGCCCTGCGATTCGTGAACGCTATTTGCTTCACGCGCATCACTCATCTCGGGTTAGTTCCGTTTCTTCTCTTTTTTTTTTTTTTTTTTTGCATTGCCATTCCGCGAACTAACTCACCATCCCGGGTTCATGTATAATGCCAGGCTCATAGCGAATTTAACGATATGGTCGAACATTACGAAGGGTTGGTCATTGGACGGGAGAAAGAGATTGACGTATGGAAAAAGAAACTCTCTTCCCTTGAGGCTGAACTCAGTTCTTCTGTCGGCTCCAAGCACGATCTGGAGGACAAGGTCGACAGTTTAACATCGGAGCTTGCGCAGATAAAGGGGGAGCTGCAGGGTCAGTACGACCAGAACTTCAAGCTCCAGG